CTGGCCAGAGACAGAAAGGTGCAAAATGTGGCTACTTTGAAGAACCTAGAATATAAGACATATTTTCAGTTGTTTCACAATGTTTCGTTAGCTATATAATTCCACAAATATCAATTCATAGTTTTGATGCCTTCAGTGTGAATCTACAATTTTCATAGTCATGAAAATAAAGAGAACTCTTTGAATGATAAGGTATCTCTAAACTTTTGGTCTGTACTGTATATAGTCATCTCTAAAAGGGATCTACTTGAATTTTTCCAAAAATATGAGGGACATACTCACTTTTGTCCAATACTGTACACCTGATTGGGTTGCTGAAGCAGGGTGTTTAAACAGGCTATTAATCCTCAACAGCCTTACAGTGTACCTTACCACTAGAAAAGCACTCGGAGTGAGCGCAGACCTCCGCCAAGCAGCAAATTTTGCCCCATATTGTGACTTACACCCACAGATAAGACTTGCATATATTGTCGATCATTACTAAATTTAAATGAATTGTTCCTTCATGCAAATCATTCCAAAGATACACCTCATTGCACCTTTCCTTAAAATCCTTTCCTAATTTTATAAACAAGGCACAACATACCTGCAGCCTCTGGTGTTTGTTCTGCTCTCACCTTCTTCATTCACTCTGTACTCTGATTTCAAGTTTGGTTAACAGATATAGACTTCACGTGAGGCATGGCTCACCTTTCCTGTATTTTTGTCCACAGTATAACAGCCTACTTCTGGGCTTTTTTGAGTCTGATGCTGAACCTGTCAATTGTAACTGCTGCTACTAATGTTATGGTTTACTTTAAAAAGAAATCCAGTATCTGTTTTATGATTTGGATAATCACCAAAATAGAAAGAGTTGTTTCCTTAGAATGTGGTGCACCTTTGGTAAAAATTTCATACAATCTGTTCATAACTTTTCAAGTTATCCTGTACACTGACGGGTAAACAAACCAACAAACACACACATAAACACAACTAAAAACATAATGTCCTTGGCAGAGGTAATAATTCTGCAAAGAGGAGGTAAAAAAAAATCTTCCACCGCTATGGTACAGACTCATTGCCAGATTTCACAAACGCTGTTTGGTTTGACAAACCAGGCAAATTTTTATTTGACTTGGTGAATGAGTTAAAAAGAGAATATCTTTCGACTTGGCTTTGGAAAAATTCAGATTTTGGGCTACACACAGACCGTTACACACACACTGACACAATAACCACAAAATAGTCTCCAGGAGTTAGGAAATGACTTCAGAAACATTCTGCAGTGGCAAGTAGAAAAGCAATGCAGTTAGTTTTCTCCCTCACTCCTTGCATGCCGGAGCTATCAGCTGTTGGGGTGAGACCCAGCTGCTTGTGTGTTGGCTTAAGAGTGATATCCATCTGCATTTGCCACATGAATGAAGGACAGATTGCTATTCCTGAAAAAAGGAATAATTAAAGGCTATGTTAGGATGCTGGCAATGCTTCAAATAAGATAATCACTGAATTCATCAGGTATACTTTCATGATTTCATCAGATAAGATACTATATTAATCACTTCCTTTACTGTTAAGATAAAAGAAATATTGTAGGAGAATATTTTTGATCATCTAAGATTTGATATATTAGATAGGCCCCTAGCTACAAGGACAGTATGGCTCATCATCTGCTTTGATTTTATATTTTTATAGGTTTATACTTACACTTAAGAGGTCTAAATTTACCTAGCAAGTAATCTGTGCGTGCCAGGAGTCTATGCAGCCTATGCTATCTGAGGTTTGTTCCTTAAACTGGCCTTGGCGCTTTTCTTCAGGCCCCTTGGGGCATTTGAAACAGTTCACTGCAGATCTGGAAACAGTTTATTCCTGAGAGCAATGGCTGTTAAGAAAAAACGGCTGTCCTTAATCCGAGTGACCCCTTCTGTGGATGTTCTAAATGGATGTTGGTTAAAGGATCCTTTAAAATCCGGTGGATAGACCCTAAGTGCAGCCTGTAACTGATACTGTTATGTTTGTAAAGAGTTGAAGAGAATACATACTTGTGTTTGCTTTCTCCTTAACTCCGTGTGTATTCTCCCTTCAGCCACGTGTGAGAGGAATGCCAGGCTCTGAAATATGGCTTTCATTAAGAAACAGGCCTTTCGTCTTCAACAAGGAAGCCTGAAGATCAGTATCTAAAAGGTGAAGACTGCAACACTCCCTGAAGTGCTCAGGTTGTCTGCAGAGAAGTTCTTAGTTGTGAAAAATATAATAATTGGTGCAGGTTGATTTGGAGTTGAGCCTTAGAGGCATTAAGAGTTGCTTAAAATAGTGGGACTTATAGCTGTTAAGGGTAAGTTGTTGCTATTTATTCAACAGCCATTCGTTCCGGATGTCCAGTTCTTATAATGGGCATCAGTGTCTGGTTTGTGTATTGTCTGTTTTTGTTGAGCATAACAGTTGATAATAATGTGTTTTTATGTAAAGGAATATTATTCAGGGTATTATGATTATTTGACCTTAAACAAGCAAAGCTGTAGGATGCAGTCTGCTGTGCTCTATGCCACTGGTTTTATATATTACAACCAGATCCTAAAGCAGGTAATCAGGCCAAGTTCCGCACAACCACTGTGTTTGTTTCATATTGATCCACTGATTTTCTTTTTTAGAAAAGTCTAGACTCTAGGGGATTGTTGGGATATTTGTTAGAAAATGTGAGGCAGCCCTTTGTGTTTTTGTTGATTGTTCTTTTTTGTTCTTTTTATTTATTTCTTTGTTCAGCAGCATTTCCTAGCAATATCCCATGAATAAAATGTTTACCTGGTCTGTATTAAATAGTTAAATCTCACCCACACAAACATCAAAACTGGTAGAAAACAATTGAAATGTCAAAGATACAGTTTTTGCGAGATTCATTTAGCCTTCTTGCTAAAATCATATATTGCACAGGAGTCTCTACTTTGTAAATGTTGTTATTGATGTGTCTTTTGTTTTGTTTTTTTGGATTATTAGCTATGTGTTTTTGAAGTGAAGGAGGCAATATGTTTCTGGAAGTGGTATTTTAGTGGGTAAAAATCATTTAAGTATAAAAATTGCTGGTTATTTTTATGAGTTGGACTGAAACGCCAGAGGTTCCTATTGAGAAACATCTGAAAGAATATATCCTAAAGGATTTAAAAGATCCTGCTAAATGGTCTTCACTACAGTTCTGTGATTTTTCATTTGTCTGAGCCTTTTGTCTCCTCTCCAGCTAATGGTCATTTCTTATGTTAAGCAGGCCTGTTGTGTTAATGGAAGCTAACCTGCAGCCTAGCTTCCCAGGGGATCCTCTCTCCCTACTGTCTCCCTTATACCTTGAATCGGTTTATTCGGGAAACTGAACTATTTCTCATGGAAATTCTGCCAGAACACCAGAAAGTCAGGCTGCTAATTACACCAATGTTGAATGGATGACTTGCTGACATCACAACATGTAGAGAGAGGAGGAATGAGAGGGGAGGTTGTGTGAAGTCAACAGGAGTCCAGAGTCAGACAGGAAGTCTACCAAGTACCCTTCAAAATAAAGCTCTGTTCAATAAAGTCAAAGTAAAATCAATCTAATGTATAAGAAGATATATGATTAGTAAAATATGTAATAAAGGCCTGCAGTAATTTTAATATCTTCAGATTCTGCTTTTGTTCAGTTATCATAGAACGTCTCATTCTTCACTGTGCAGTTTTAATGATACAAACAGAACCAACTGTGGTTTTTTTGTTTTGTTTTTTTACTGCATTCTTATTTATTTTACATTGGCATAGTTAAAGTAAAAATATAAAAATCTGTGTCATTACTATAAGCATTGTTTCATTGAATTCTTCCATGCATGGCATACCTCTGCAGATGAAGTGAAAAAAGTTTTTACAGCATGATTGTTGTTGGCAGCCCATTGCTGGGGAAAAAATGTTATGTAAGCAAGGGGGAAAATGCCCAGTTGTCATACTTGAGTCATCTAAGCAGCTAGTGCATAGTAACAGGTTGGGAAACAGGACGGGTAACTAAGCATTACTCTCCGTGGAAGCTAAGAACATGGCTTTAGACCGGAGGTCTTCAACAGGGGGTCCACAACCCCTAGGGCGTCCACTAAGGTACTGCATGGGGGTTGTGAAAATTTTGGTTGATTAGACTGTTTTTTTTTTATATTCCCCCCTGCAATTTTTTCCACTAATTGAAATGTCTTTAAATCCACTTTAACATGAATTCAACACACTGTAGTAAACAGTTAAATGGAGGCAGAAGATGTCTTTCACTCATCAATGCACACATTCAGCAACACACAGGAGCTCTTTCAAGCTGGGCACCGTTTCATTCACAACACCTGTCCCATCAACCAGGAATCTGAATCAGAAATACTTTAATAATCCCAGGGTGAAAGAACTTTTGCTACATTACACCATCTGTAATAGAGTGACTATAGGACCTGTTTGATATAACACAATTTCATACAATATATATAATTAAGGGGTCCCGGCTCCATCTCGTCATCAATTTGGGGGTCCTTGGCCTGGAAAAGTTTAAAGACCCTTGGTTTAGACAGTTTGAATGAAAATTTGAAGGGATTTTGAAAGAGTAACTTTGGAATATCTTCATAGGAGTAACCCAGGCTAAAACAAATAAAATAAAGTCAGTAAGTTGTAAAAAACTGGTGTCGCCTCAGGGTCCCCCAAGAGCAGCTGGAGGAGGTGTGTGTGGATTAGGAAGTCTGGGCATCTCTGCTTAGACTGCTGCCTCTGCAGCAGATAAAGAGGGAGAAAATGGATGGATGGATGGATGGATGGATGGATGGATGGATGGATGGATGGATGGATGGATGGATGGATGGATGGATGGATGGATGGATGGATGGAAATTGTAAATAATAAAGCAGCTAAGTTGCTCTTTGTTGGTTTTAGTCTCAGACTTTCTTTATTCTGAAAGGGCAGTCAGAAGTGGTTTCGTCACTCTTGTTGCTTTGACACCATCTTAATAAGCGTACTTGGTTTAAAGCGCTCCTGCTGCTCCGTGGCTTGTTCTGCTAATAGAAGCAGGGCTCTGCTGGATTTCCCTGAGCTTTCGGACAATCCGCCCGGATATTCTCTGAGCAGAAGCGTCTTTTTAAAAGAGAGGAGTTTCCATTTAGGAGGCTGAATTTATTTCTGCTGGAATTTGCGCTCTTCTTGGAGCTTTTGGTCAACATTTTTAGGAACTTGTTAACGAGATTTTTTTGGTTGTGGGGGGGACGGGTTGACCTGAGTATTTGTGCAGAGAGCGAAGGGAGGAGGTGTTGACAAAAGGCGACTTTTATCCCGTCCCTTCTCGGGACGGCGGGATAGATGCGGCAGAGGATCGCAGAGCGGGTGACGCTGCTGCGCCTTCGTGGCACGGCTGCTGCGCTGGAGAGGTGCGACGCATTCTACCATGAGGAGCGTTTGTTTTAGATCCAAGCCAAGCAGTCCGCTCCGGGCTATGGGTTTAGTCCGTCTCAGTTTATAGGAAGGTAAGCCGAAAAATTCGCTTTCACTTGTTTTATTTTCCAGCAATTCAAATGTAACTCTACACCCATTTCCTCCAAGTGCGTAAAAGCGCACAGATTGCCTAAAATATGTCATCTAAACGTTTTTAATTGCACCAGTTCAAGTTTTTTTTTTGTTCGATTTGTATTGTTTTTATTAATTTTACTAATCAAAACTATATGTATTGTATTAATTTCACTTATTTTAACCAGCATTTTACCAACACCTGCAGCAATATTTTTGTTACACTTTAAAATTGTGGCTTTCACTCTGTGGACGTGTACCCACCAGTGGTAATCCCCCCCACCCCCTGCAGCGCGGTGGTCAGCTTCATGTGTGCTGTGAAGCGTGTGTTTGCCCCCTGCGCCATATGGATCGAACTATAAAACTAATTTAACGCTAAATGATCTGATTTTTCATCACTATGTTGAGTTTGCTGAAGGCTGTAGTTAGAAGCAACTTGTAAGGGTGGAACCAGAGGAACAGTAAAAGTAGTGTAGACCCTTTAGCTGCTAATTGAACAGAGAAGGTGGTTTACATATTAGATACTGTTTAGCAGCAGAGAGGGACACTTCATTAGCAATTGAATGGACTGAAAGGACAAATAATGACTAATGTGTTTAGGAGCTGAAGTTGCAGTTTCACTGATCTGAGAGCAGCAAACTGACAGCAGCCTAAATACTTAAGTTAATACTGTTTATCAGATTACTTTCTAAATAATAAAATAGAAAGTGATCGAAAATATCCATATTTAAATATGTGCAATTTTTATACAGTGGCTGCATTTATGAAAATATGTTAAATAAAAATTAGAATCAGTTTTATTGTCTACTTAAAAAGTGTTTCTGTTTTGTTCTTTGGTGAGCAATACTTCATTGTTTACAGGCTGGCATAGAAGTGAAAAACTCAACATGCAGTGTGCCAGGCAGCTGGGTAGACTGCTAGTTGTGCCAACATGGTGTGGGTTAAAGTCCTAAAAAAATGCTGCTGCAATTGTGAAAACATGTCAATTATAAGCTGTAAGTTTCTTGTAGTGGAATTTTCCCATCTCTAGTGTTGTAGTTGTAGCTGATTCATTTAACATGATGACAAAACTCAGCCGTTTTTTTTTTTAATTGCACTGTAGTGGCCTTTGCACAATATCCATGACTGCACATTTCAAAATAAAGCTCTACCATTTCCACTGTAATAAAGGATATTATTATAATAATAATTAATATACTGACAGGGGAAAGGCTTGATTTAACCTTTGGAAATTGATTCTATATCACTGCTGGTCATAACCCTTACACACAACCCTGATACACTTTCAAAATAAGACACCAGGGACTCTACAAAATAAAAGTCTCTTCTTTATACACACTAATTCAATACAGATATGGCTCATAGCTAAGACCCAAGCTCAACCAGGACACTGGTGGTCTAATTTCAAGACCACCAGTGTCCTGGTTGAGCTTGGGTCTTTGTCCTGGTAGACTAAAATGTCCTGATAATCAATGAACATTAAAATCATCTTTAGCAACATTAGCACAGCAGGTTACTCTACTAAAAAAGCAGGCTCCTTGTGTTATCCCAGGTGACATTTTCTGTCCTTTTCCTTTGAGATTCCCATTGGCTTTTAGCAATTAGAAAATCCAGCATGTTCCATGTTATATAATAGGCGTGAGTTAAATTTCTGAATGGTGCCACTTTATTGTGATATGTTTAGCATTCCCATTATCTGCTAAAAGCTTTGCTCTTTTGAGGTCTCTCAGCATCAGTGTGCTACAGACATGTCTTGATGTATCACAGAAAATGGTTAACCCAAATCTGTTTTAATTATAGCACCTTATTAATACTGACGCTAGCAAACCTTGAGTCTCTTTCACTCAGTCACAACTTCTACACCAGTGTCACCACTCTTTGGTGGAGTTTAATCACAAAAGGCCTGGTCTGGGCTAGTTTCGTAAGGATTCCTAAGCTGGATTCCTAATCCCTATCTTTGCCCCATTATGTCCATATCCTATTTTACATTAGGTTTTTTTTGGGACAAACGTTGAATGAGTATGAAAGCTTAACATATTTATGCAACACTGTCATTGATGACTCCAAAGGGGACATATGTATTTGAGTTTTACTTCATCTGTGACTGTGCCACCTGTTTTAATATGACCCAGAAGTGTCTGATAAAGAGGCAGGACATCTGCTCTGTACAGTAAAACTGGTTTTAAACATGTTGAAGCAGGTTAAATCTCTAGTCTCAGCAACATAGGTTCTTAGCTTTCAAAAAAGAAAAAAAAAATCATCTTTGTCAGGAATATCTCCCATGTTTACTGTTGATTAATTCTAATGAGTCTCAAGTCATAATTTATAAGTTTGAATTTTATCAACTGTTATGTTTGTTATGAAACTTTGCAGTTTCATAACAAAAGACAGTTGAAAAGTCCCCTCATTTATCCCCTTTATAGACTAAAGATGTGGTTAAAGGTTTGTTCAGGAAAAAAAAAAAATCATCACAAGACTTTGTTGCCCTCTGCACCCAGCTGCTCTCTTCCTTGTTTTTCTAGTTTCTAAAGAGTGGTCTAGTTTCTAGTTTCTTAAGAATGGATTTTAGTCTGGTGCTTTACATTGATGCCACAGAAAAGCTGCAGTGGTTTTAGGAGAGCGTAATGAGTGTTTTCCTTCAAGCCATCCAAAGCAATAGTTGGGGATACATTTAAATTAGAGCTGCACAATAAATCAAATCCCAGTGGTTATTGCAGTATCAATGCTGTAATCCCAAAGAGCTGCGGGGATGCAGTCTTTGTAATACTATGTTTTAGGTGCTTTGTCTGCAAATTCTAGATGAAAAAAAAACACTTTTGATCTATTAGATGGATTTACCCCTTAGTGTTCAATTTAAAGCAGTTTGTTTGTAGCTGAAATGCCAAAGAGTAATTGGGACATTGTGCTGAAACTAAAAGATGAAAACCTTTTTTGGAATCTGTATAATTGTTGCCTATGTTGCCTAGCATCATGATATTATTGACCAATATTGTTACTGTTATTTTCTTGTACTGGTATCAACTGAATCATTCATGCTTTTGCCAATTCTTTAGGTCATTTAACAGACATATCCGATCCCGCCATTGCTATGATTGTTGACGTTTTGTTTGATTTGTTTGTTTAATTTTTTTTAATTTTAAATGTGACATGTAAAATGTGTTGTCATTGTGTCATTTTCACCATTATTAGCCAAGAATTAGCGCCCCCAAAAAACTCAGAAACACATGTCAGTCGTCAGTTAATAATTGGAATCGGCGTTGGCTTTAAAAAACCTGTATGGATCGATCTCCATTTGTGAGTCTAGAACTGTAGTTGAAGATATAATTTTTGAAACATGGCTGGGGAAAGAGAAGAAATCTTTTTCCACCATGCAACTGGAAGTTTGTTGCAATGGGCGGGGGCAACACTGCTATACTGGGCTGTATATAGCTTAAGAAAACTTCTTCACTCTGCTATGTTCTGTGTAATTCACAGAAATATTTTGAAGTTTTTTTTTAAAGCCTTGGTTTATAATTCAGTTCAAAACCTATGCATAAATCACAATTTAAGTTTAAATAAAAGATGACGTACATTAAAAACTGTTAACAGTCTCAACATAATTGACTTGACGCTGATAGTAATATTACTGGATTGATTGACCTGTGGTGTTACATTGATTCCAATTTGTGTGAACAACTTTGCTGTATGCCAGCCACTTTGACCTATTAAAAAAAAAAGTTCTTTGAAGATAATGCTGCAGACACCTACAACAACTTGGATATATCTGACAGATGAAGAATTGTCCATTAAAATTATCCAGAACCTTGGTAACATGGCTAAAGTTGCAGAACAGGATGAAGATGATTAACTGGAAACTGTGAATCATTGTCCACTGACATCATGGTCACAGTGACTGCCATCTAAAAACATACCCCCCAAATACTTAAGTAAACCTCACACTCGAGCTGACCAATAATGTGCCAGCATTTATAACTCCCTCTGGGATAAAAATTGACCAGCAGCATTTAAAAATGGAAACAGGCCCTCTAACTTCCTTGTCTGTACCTCGGAATCGTTTATGAGGCATTCGTGATGTACTTGGCTGGTATTTCCAAAACCACTAAATCTGATCTAATTGAAATCATGCAGCCTGCACGGTGGAGTTCACAGATTGGGTTTCAGCTGTGGGGGAATCCCTAGCAGATCCATAAAGCTGGATGTAAATCACAGGGAAAGGAGAAACAGGCCCTGTAGATTAAAAGCATCTACTTCTGAAGTGATAATAAAGATGGTTAGGTGAATCACTGAGGGGGGGGTTGGTCTCAGCTCACATCTGGAAAGAGAGAGGGGGGTCAGAGAGGGAGAGCTTCTTTAAACAATTATAAGACCCTCCTGACTTGTTTGAGGCAAGTGTATGACAGTGTTGTGAAATGGTTTCCTTTATATCAGCTTGTGTCTAAGCTTAAGGGAGGTGTAACCTTGATATTACGGAAAGCATGAAAGCAGGCGACAGTGGCGTCTGGTGCAGGAGTTTGCTCTGCAATCGGAGGGTTCGAGCCCTGACTCTGGGTTTCAGTTTCGTTGTGTTCTTGGGCCAGACACTTCACCTGAATTGCCTACTGATGGTGGTCAGATGACCCGGTGGCGCCAGTGTACGGCAGCCTCGCTTCTGTCAGTGATTGTATTCTGTCTTTATACTGTTCTGTCTGCTGTGGCTGTGTGTGTGAATGGGTGAATGACTGAATGAATGTAGTTTAAAGGGCTTTGGTCAAGTCTCCTGACTTGAAAAAAGAGCTATATCATTGCATTTACCATTTACTCTGATTCAGAAGATTGGAGCAGAGGACCATGTTTTACCCTTTTCTCATGTGTTGTCAATACAGATCATGAGTGAAATCAATGCAACCTGTCTGGCTGACGAAAACTAACCCAGTGGGATGATATCAATACTTTTTTCGGGGTGGGGGGCAACTAGAAATTAAGAACCCTTTTTTTGTCGTTTTTTACAAATGCAGTAAAGGTTTTACAAACTTTAATGAAACTTTACAGCCAAGGATTGACCCCTTTAAATGTAGCTGTGCATGAATGGTGCCTCTCTCTAGTGGTCATTGGAGTAGGGTCGGGACACGCCTTTGACAGGTTGCCAGGCTATATTTGGGCACCACAGATATGCACAGAACAAACAAGCATGCATGCATGTGCTCACTCCTATGATTATAAGGAGCAAATTAATAAAAAAAGAACCCTTTACCTTCGAGTCATTAGTAGGCATTGGTTGAGATTCTTCAAAACCAGTGCAGTGGTTTTAAATATTTTTAAACAAAAGCAAGAGAAGTGGCTTTCTATGGCTATGGTAAGGTTGCACTGCTCTCATTTAATGCTGTGCACTGCAAGCCAGCTTGCCGAAAGGAGACCAGTTTCCAGTTATTTAATGTGTAGATTAAAAATGTCACTGTTTAGAGTTGAAAGCATTGTGTACAGGGAGTGACCTTTAGTTGACCTCTCTCTCTCTCTCTGATTTTATAGCAGCCTAAAGTTAAAAAGGTCAGTTCTGTCCAGGGATCAAAGAAAAAACAACATGCTGGCATTTTACGAATTTCTTTTAGCACATGTCCACTAGTACTGAATCAGCTAAGCTTTTCTTTTTGTTTACCAGATAAAGCAACATTCAGATTTAACAACTGCAATCCTGTTGGCAGATCCACTCCATTTAGATATACCTCTAGCTACGTTATCACCCCTACAAGTTATAGGGTCCCTCCTTATCGATTAGCTGCTAACACCTAATAAAGTTTTAGGGGATCTTCTGCGATAAGATCGGCGAGTTTTCCTGTCTATTGCTCTAGGTTGGTTCAGATTTACTCCACCCTCCCTCCCAGTGTGCCTGATTGACTTTATCTTTTGTATCACAGTTGGATCATCAGTATTCATTGTAGAAACATCTGGGAATTTGGGATCATTTATTAATATGTATGGATTCTGTTTGTGAAGTGTTTGCCTTGCCCTTCCACAATGAAAGCAGAAGTTGCAGAGGTCTGCGTATCTCCTCAAGGAGCTGACGAAGCTACTTGGGCTTTTGGCAGATGGGGAGGAATCTTAAGTGATGATGAAGGTCGTTTCTGACTTAAAAATTTGTTCCAGTTATCCTCTGGATTGTTAAATTGCCTTCGAACAATCAGGGCATGAAATTATGATATAAAAATAATATTTGAAAAGAAAATAAATATATACATGTCAATTAAATAACTTTTTTTGTTGTTGTTTTTCAAAAAGTTGTACATTTATTTTATTTTCTAAGGCTGCAACAAACAGAACTGATAAATTAATAAACCAAAATAAAAAAATCACCTTTAACTTATAATCGGCATCATTTAAAATATCTAAGTTACTAGTTTCTTTAAGAATTTATCTACTGAATTTTGGAACCATTGAAAGCTAAGGCATTAACAATTGCGCTGTGACTAAAGCATGTCATTACAATCTCATAATACAATCAACCATGTTCACTAATTGGTTCAGTTGATAATGGCTTGAGGACTTGGCCACTTTGCTGTCTACTTTACATGTATAAGTGTGCGCACTGTGCAATGGAGCCTCACTTAGTTGTGGAATCAACATTGTCCTGGATGTCCTTAAGCTGCTCGTAGAGCTGACTGTCAGACAAGGCATCCATCTGGGAAGGTAATGAGATTCTGTCGTCTTGGTTTAGCTGCCTGAGGGGGTTACGGGTTAGTGGGATGCAACCTTTTGGCCACCCAGTTTCCATATTCTGCGTCTGTCAAGGACTCACAAATCCGTATGCATACATGGATTCCTTAGTTTGTCTTCAAATACAGATTGGGTGGATTAAGAGAAAATATAGAACGACTCCACCCAATGAAGTATTTAATTCACAGCTTTTGTGTTTTATGGTATCTATGCATCTCTGCTGTTTTTTTAGCACGGCCTTTATTCTTTTTTTTATTTTTATTTTCTTTTGGGGGGGGCAGTCTTGATCTCAGAAGGTTTGATAGAAATTATCTAAAGCTAAAAGCTAAAACCTTTCCTTCTTTTAAACATTTCAATACAAACATGTGTACTAATGTTGTGTTCTGGTAAGACATTTGGAAGTGTTTCATACGAGCATTTGCGCAGCATGCTGTGAACATTTTGTTACTTGCCAAGTTCTGTTTTCTATCACTGTCACTGTATTGTGTTCAGCTATTTTTTACAGCTTGTTTGAGCCCTTCGTGTGCACTAACAGCACTCTGTTTGTGCATCTGCTGTTTTACTGGGAGTTAAAATCATTGTTGAAGCTTTTCAAGATGGTTTAAACTGAATAGATCCAAGTGGTAGCAGTAGAATTCACTTTTCTTGAGATACTAACACTCACCTTAGTACACTTACCTTTACTGTCAAGCCACAAATCATTTTTTGTTTTGTAAATTGACTTCCTTAATTTGTATACATAAAAATACCTGATTAAATTCACATTTACAACATGCATGCCAAGACATGGGAGTCACGTAACTTCTCTTTCTGTTTGTGTCTGTCGTATGGCAGGAAGATCTGTGTGCACTGCAAGTGTCGCCGTGAAGAGCATGCTGTGACAGCCATGCCGGTGGAAATGGAGAAGACGGTCACCAAGCTGATGTATGATTTCCAGAGGAACTCGACCTCAGACGATGACTCGGGTTGTGCGCTGGAGGAGTACGCTTGGGTGCCACTGGGACTCAAACCTGAGCAGGTACCTACACGCCTGCACTTTTTTTGATACGGACCATGTAGCATAATCACTCAAAGGCACTCAAGCTCTACAATCTGGTTTTAGTTTGTTTGTTGGTTTAAGTCTGTGTGGCCGCATTCCTGAAAGGTTTTTATATATGACGACTACAATGATGTGACTTGCAGGCACATCTAGATAAATTCTCATTCATTTTTTTTATTATATACAAAAATAAATTAAGTCAAATTTTTGTTTATCATAATTTATTAAGGCCCATACTTGAATACATAAATATTAAAAGTAACTTTATTTTCCCAGAAATAACTTAACATAGGTGTAAAAGAAAAATGTGCAAATTTCTTTGTTAAACAAAGATCTCAAGATCTAAAAGGCGATGAAAAATTGTTTCACATTCCATGCCACTCTATATGGCATCCTCGCAGAGCCAAAGACGCTGTCTGCACAGAAGAATGGAAAGATGAAGCTAAGGATCCTTAGTAAGCATTTTACAGGTTAGACCATGTCAGTCAGAGGTGTTCAATCAGTGCCACGGAAGAAAAAATGGTATGAGAAGGAAGAAGACCAGTTTGGAAACAACAAATTCAGGAGAGAGATAAGAGGTGCTTTGTTTTTAATTCACGATAAGACAATTCACACAAACACCACGGAGTAGCTAAATGTGCTGATGTAAAATGTGCAATAGATAAATTGGCTTCTGATTGGCAAAACCAAGTCTTCAGTCAGCTCTTATTGATGTTTGAGTTTGAGTGTAAAGGTACGTTTACATTGAATTTAGCTGTAGAAGGACTGTTTCGTCATCTTACCTCCAGCACAGACGGATGCCTTCTCTCCCCGGCTCCGCCCGAGCAAACTTTGCTGATCTTTTTATTCTCCTTTCATCTCCCTGCAGTTACAGTTGTCGTACTCCTGGGCAGCCGTTGTCCCTTCCCCATCTTGCGTGTTCTGTTTTTGTAGTGGAAGTATCGGCTCTGCCACTGTGCTCCTCTGTTCCTCTGCTGGTAGTTTCTATATCTAGCCCCAGCAAGCTGTAGCCTCTCCGTTACGGTGTTTTTTCCCCAGCAGGCTTTTCTGCTCTGCCTTCTCTCCCAGCTCTGAGCTCTGATCTCCCACTGTGGTTCCTTAATTCCAGAGGAGGACACGGCTAGCAGGCTGGTCCTGCTTCTGTTATTTTCACTGCCGGTGTTCTCGCACTTTTTTCCCTCTGCTCAAGTCTGAGCTCCAGAATACCATCTCACCCAACCCTCTGTTTTCTGTGATTCATGCCCCATTTTGGGACAGCAGTGCCCTTAAATGGGTCACGGATAGGCGGAAGTACCGCTAAAAGCAACCTTCATCCAGACCCAGCCTCGAGAGGAGGTGGCTGTATTTCCCATACCGTGTCCGTCTCTGGGAATCTGGTGAACCTTGGAACGTAGGCAGCTTTTGCAGCTTTCTAAAGTTAAAAAAACACTGTCAGTAACTTTGGGAATCCATGTCACCCATGATGAGGTGAAACCAATGACTAGCAGACTCCATGATGGCGGAGACTTTCGTGCGCCTGGCGAATTGGCAAGGAGAGCAAAATAAGGCAAACCTATTGAAATTTTCGCAGGTTGATCTGACCCTTGAAAGAGAGGTGAGGTCTATGTTGACCGATATGGACAGACAAGCCAGTTTGTACCCAGTTATGCATATCAGTGATAGGTGGGTAGCTGTTTCCATACACCGGGACCACAATCCAACCAAGAACTCATCATCATTTAGATGAGACCTAGGTGAACAATCTTTTGCTCTTTTTTGTTGTTATGTTATAGATGAAACATTAAGTCTGTTTTCATCTGGATAATAAGAACATGGCACACTTAATTGTGTAGTTTCCAATCAGCCAGTTAGGAGAAGTAATAGGTGTCTGCCCTCGTAATACTATTTAAAACTAAACACTTTTATCACAGCTTGCTGAGTATTGCATAATAAGTGCATCAGCCTCACGGTGGTTGAAGAGAGAATGAAAACAGATTTGTTCTATTATAATTTGTATTGTCCAGACTCTCTGACTACATTTGTGCCATATTTCAGCAGAAACACAGGCTGAGCTGAGCCTCTCCATGCTAAGCAGCACTGATGCAGTAGTTAATGCAAAAACAGACCTTACCAAGAACCATGTGGATATGTACCGTAAGGTACATTCATTAGGCACACAAAGATAACATTTGTGTGATTAGTGTTGGATTTTCAATACTTTTACTTCACTTACTTTTTGAGCATTAAGAGAGGATGTGAGGCAATAGCACTGCATTTGAGTTGAAGTGGGAAAACAAATAATGAACTTAAATATTAAGACATACACTTTGAAAATATCTCATGAGGACTGTTAAAATGTTGAGGAGCGATATGATACTGGAGCTATAATGCCCCTGAACAATCAGGATTCCAGAGATATGGACTTGTAGGTATTTCTAATAATCCTCAGCCCATTAAAAGGTAAAACTACTGTGTATGTTGAGCATGTTTGCCAAAAAGCTCGCCCACTAAGCTGACAGCGAGGCTTCACCGGGCTAATGGATAACACAGGATTACTTGGCTCCAGCCTTCAAATTAATCTCCCCATTGTTTGTGCCCCCGAACATGTTTACGGGAGGTTTCTTGGCCCTCATAAGCACTTGAGTCAAGCCTGCACAGCACATTAAACAGCTTCATGCACGTTGAAGAAAATCCCCCTTTACAATGCTCCACTGAGCCAGAGGTGTTCACATGTGGGCGGGTCTCCAGTTTAATTGGACAATAGAGGCGTTTATGGAAGCTGGTTTCATTTCATTCAAGAGCTCAGTCAATACGCTGTTGGCTCAGGCTTAGAGGTTTGTTTTTGCCTTCTCTAGTCACACTAAAAAATCCAAGCTAAGAAGTCATATTTTTTCTTTTTTTTTTAAACAGACTATGATGGGCAAAAATGTTCAATACCCTCAAGAATGACCCAGAGTTTGTATATATGTATTTTGTTTCATGAAAGATATATTTCAAATGTACTTAATGAGAAAAATTTAGATCGTCCAGTGATGTACAGATGTGTACCAAGTTAATGCAGTCTCTGAAAGGCTAAGGTTTTGAAGCCGTGGAAACTTGTTTTGCAACCTTTTGCATTAGACTGGATCTAAACAAAAAGTTAAACTTGGGTTCTAAATGATGGGTTTTAGATTTCCACTCTGGAAGCCAGAGCTCTTTATTAGTCTGCTATTCAGCAGTGGTGTAAAGTCTCTTCTGTGTAATGAGAGATTCCTGCGCAGCGGTACAGCAGCCAGGTACATGGATCGGAGGGATCATAAAGGATAACTGCCCTCCTGCAAGACTTAATGTGTCCTCAGTCGTGTGTTTACATGTGTCTATCTTAAATGTGGTGCATTTAACTACCGCTTGCAGAAATACAAGCGGATTCATATAATCTATAATGTGCATTAAGTGTTTTTGTTGTATTTAAGAATACTTTTTATTTGAGATAAAACTCCTGGATGTTGCCAGGTTACAGTTGAACATGGCCAAGAATGTAACTGCAGAGTTCTCTTAGGGGCATTTTCTGTTTTTTTTTTTTTGTTTTTTTTTCTTTATTATCATGAGGAGCTTCGGTCTAACAGAACCTCTGCTCAGCAGTTAAAGTGATCTGATTCTAATTTTCTCTTCAGCATGACGTACGTGTTTTCAACACTACCTCTGGATATTTGTACAGAATGTTGGCTTGAGTTAATGAAATGTAAACTAGCTGCAAGATCTGGTCCCATGGCTTTAAAATGGATTTCAAACAGAGACGACTGAGGGTAGTTTGACCTGTTTCCTCAATAGGACTGAGCACAATTCAAACCATTCCGGGCCAGGATGGGGGTCAATAAAACTGTCAGCTGCTGACCTGATGGCTGATCTTTGAGTGATCGGGGCTCTTTCCATTTGCATCACTGACATTTTTTAACAGCTAGTGCATGCACTGCAAAAACTTTTGCGACTGATGTTTATGTCCTGCCATTAGATGGATAGAGGATGGATGGTTTTATGACTGTATATCTTTAAAGTTCATGACATTCCCCTGAGTCGAAGAGCATCTATTGTCTTGTGAATTATGACCTTTTTATGGCTCCACTTTTTTGCCTCATTCCTTCCCAGTTAGAAAATTGCAAAGTGAAGGAATGTGGCAATTGTAGCTGATGTGCAGGCTAGTTATGCTAACTAATGAGGTGTCCGAACAGTTTTTCTTATTCGAAGACAATGTGCTGAAGATTGCGTGGTTCTTCAATAAAATGCAGCTGATTATCAGATATTACCTGCATTACTAAGTGTTTCAGTTGCACATGGATCTACTTATTGCACAAACTGGGTAAAGATGGACTCTTTTTAGGGATAGCTCAGGATAGAGCCATCCCTCTATCCCGAGTGAGCTTCTCAGGATAGAGAGGTTCTGTCAAAATGTTATGAGCAGTTCAATTCAGTTTCAGTTTAGTTTTGTTTATATAGCACCATTTCACAACACTTTATCATTTCAATGCATTTGACAAATACATTTTCATAAAATCCTAGAAACAGATTGGTTATTTTTGTCATGAATGTCTGCAGATAATACTTCACTTGCATGAGATAACACTATGCTTCTTCATTTAGTATATGAATTAATCCACGAAAATTTTTTTAACAAATAACATATGGCACGACCTAAATGCTTTTTTAGCAGCCAAAGGATTATAAAAGAAGGTTCCTTCTTTCATGCAGTGGGCAGCAACAGGTATAGAAAAGAAGACGGTATTATGTTACATTAACCTGTTCACTCTGGAATCCTCTTAAAATTAATTTGAAGTGTGATGCATGAGCCATGAATTTCGTACTTTTTTAAACCGTGATCTACTCTAACAGTAACTGGTCCGTGCATTTGGTTCTAAAAATGTAATTATGGCCATCCAGTAAGTAGTAATATCAAATTCATCTAAAAGCCATTCTGTTTCTGCTCTTTTTTCGTTTTTTTAGCCTCAATAAAGCCAATCAATCAATCAATCATCAAGAGGGTTTTTCTTCTGCCATAAAAACCCTTTTTTTTTCTTTTCAAGTAACTGTGTCAAGTTGCTTTTCTCTAACCAGTGCCGTATCATACCCACGTCCAGTAACCACTGCTAAGAGTGTTGCTGAAGGAATGCCAGAGCTGCTCCCTGAATGTGTTGGGTTGTTAACAGCAATAGAAACCAGCTGTGTGAAGCAATCTCTCCTGTCACCCTTTTCCAACGTCCTACCATTAGCTTGGAAAAGCACTCCTTTCAGCACAGCTTAAATGTCCGCCCTGTCTTGAGCTTCGTCTGCTTTTGATTACAGTTATTATCACAAGCTGCTTCTCCTTGTTCTCGCTGTCTTTCTACATGTCTGCATGTGTGTATCTGTCTTTTGATCTTCCCCTCAGGGAAGCGAGCCTTTCACCTCCAGATTCTAACCCTGCTGTTGTTGGAGGCATGCTTTGTAATTCATCATCGGCTTTGTGTGTTTGTGTGTGTGTGTGTGTGGTGGGTGTTTGTGCGGGTGGCTGTACAGTACTTGCTAAGCTCTATGAGGTATTTCATGGACTAAGGGAAGCCAACCAAAGCAGAGCAACAGGAGTTGGGTTACACCCCTAACAAGAGCTGTAAAATCATCCAACCCCAAACACACTTGCATAAGACCGCTTTAGTGAACCACCGGCTGCCGCTGATCAGGATGTTTAATATCCCCAGCCTTAGAGTTCAATTTGGAGACGTGTTTCCAAAGCGTTGGTGTTATTTTTGGGCTTTGGCTCACTAACTCCTGTCTGCAGGATTCAGGTTAATCCCTTTTTGTGTGGCAGACTTGGAGTTGTTGGCAAAGACAAGGCTGAAAGCTCCAAGTCTGTAAATCCGTCCAGGTCATCGAGATAGACAAGACCTGGTCAACAAATACGGACTGGCATTACCCTCTCTGTAGCACATAAGATCTTAAGTGGTTTTGCCTTTTGTTTAACATCAAACTTTTATTGCCTTTTAACAGTATCTCATTATCTCTTTTTTTAGCCTTTCACTTTAAATCCTCTTTTTAAAACCCTGCAGGTTTGCTTTTTCTCATCCACTGACCTTTGGTAAACCCCAGCCCTGCAGATACAGTGTAATAAAATGAGGCTGTAATAAATAACTTGAGATGAAACCCATTGTCTGCCGTGAAAATTAGATGAATGTAATTTAGAACTGTCCAGATTAGCATTAATCGGCTGCAACACGTGCACACACACACCGTGCTCATTTAGGTTAATGACTGCTTTGCTTTAAAAGTCTTTGTCTGCTTGTGTGTGAGTCTGTGAACCTTTGACAGGTCAGTGATACATTCCCATGTCAATGTGCAGAGATCGAGGAGTGGGTTTCCATTAAGTCTTCACCGGTGGATCATAAATCAAAGCTTCCAGCGGTAGAACGTAACCCCAGTTTCATAAATTTTAGCACAAAAATTATTCTTATTTTTTATAAAGTTTTTAAAACAATCGAATAAAAAAAAATTAAATTTAAATGGTCTTGGGTATTCAAAGGTTTAGACATTTATAACTGAATTGACCATCAATCTGAACCTAAGGCGTGACAATTTTCCCATGATCTCCTCTGAGAAATTATCATGTCAAACAATTAAATAAGGCTAGATAAAGCCTGATCGATTTATCTTTATTTGCAGTTATAAACTATTTCTGATTGTCCCAAAGACAACAAAATTTAGAACTACAGTCTGACCAATAATTGTCCAGCATTGGTTGGATAATTATAATAATCAGTCAAATTTAAGAATCTGATTTTCTGGTTATTAGCTCTAATTGATAATCAGCAAGTCTCATCCTTAAAAAATCATACATTTTTACTTTATTCATTATGTAAACCTATTTTTTATCACCTGTTTAATATTAACAGCATATACAATACGACATATTGATCTGTTTATCAACACATCAATGTGCTGTAAATTTTTCATTCTGTTAATTTCAGACTCCCATCTTTCTTCATTTCAATTTACTTTATCTATATAGCTCAAATTCACAACACGTCATCTCAAGGCACTTTGCAATTCAACCAGATCATACAGTCAGATTGGTTAAAGGTTTTCTATCTAAGGAAAACCAGCTGATTGCATTGACTCATTCACACCAAGGCAATCTCTCACAATAGCGACAGTGGAGAGGGAAAAACTCCCTTTTAACAGAAAGAAACCTCCAGCAGAACCAGGCTCAGTGTGAGCGGCCATCTGCCAAGGCCAACTGGGGTTCGATTAGACAGAAGCAGACATAGAAAAAGAAGCATAGATTAAAAAAAAAAAAGGAACTGTCAACCAGCTCCACAGGCGCCCCCTCCAAGAAACGCACAGCGAGCTCCGAGCCAGCTTCAATGCCATAGGATGAAAAAGAGCACATACAGTTAGTCACAGTCAGAGAAGCTGGACTACACTGAAAAACAGGCCAGGCTCTAACATCTATAAATAAAGGTGTGGATGGCAGCAGCACAGTTGATATTTCTCTCCAGTATGGTGTCACAGCCAAACGGGAACAGAACAGATGAAGCTACAATGAGGAAAAAGCAGAGCGAGCAGAACGTTAGAGGTTGAAGTAACAAATACTGCAGAATGGGACAATAGAGAGAAAGATAAACAGGGTTCCCAATTTCCTCCAGCAGTCTAAGCTTATAGCAGCATAACTATAGAGATAGCTCAGGATAACCTGAGCCACTCTAACTATAAGCTTTATTAAAAAGAAAAGTTTTAAGCCTACCCTTAAAAGTAGCAAGACTGTCTGCCTCATTGACTAAAACTGTTAGATGTTTCCATGGGAAGGGGAACGTACAGTGCATTTTTTTTTCTTTTATAGAAGAAAAATCCAAATTGACTTTACCAACTTCACAAGAAAACCATAAAGTCGTCCACATGGACTACTTGTCTTGAAGAATTTTTTTTAGACAGGTATCTAAGAATCTGAGAAGCACCAACCAATTAGAGATCTGAACTGTCGATCAGCAGGTGAAGGTCCGGGGTGACAGTGGTGTTGGATGTTTGAGTTTGCCCTGAAATCGAAGGGTTGACGATTCAAGCCCTGGCTCTGACTTTCATTGTCGTTGTGTCCTTGGGCAAGACACTTCACCTGCATTGTCTACTGATGGTGGTCAGAGGGCCCGGTGGCGCCAGTCTACGGCAGCCCGCTTCTGTCAGTGAGCCCCAGGGCAGCTGTGGCTACAATGTAGCTTGCCACCATCAGTGTGTGAGTGTGTGTGTGAATGGGTGGATGAATGTGGTGTAAAGCGCTTTGGTCAAGTCTCCTGACTTGAAAAACGGTGCTATATAAGTACATGCCATTTACCATACATTGTTGGTTAAATCCACAAGTCTTAACTCAGAAAAATCCCATTAGCAGATCTTTGCTAACTGGTACTGATGACATCAGAACTGGCTAGTTAACCCAGTTGATCAGCTGTGGTCAGCAACTTAGTTACTGAAAATCACGTTTTCTGGCTCATTCAGTAACCAACAACTTAAAACTCCCATCATTTTCAGTCAATAAACATTTACCTTAAACTTTTTCATGTTCATCAAAATCAAATAAGTTATGGATATTTACTTCAGTGTAACTGTGAAGAAAATATTTAGGCTCACATGTCTTCATTTTTTGGGTGGGGGTTTCTCAGATAGTCTACCTGCTGTAGAACCATTGTGAATTTCCTTCCATCTTGCTGTGTTTCTGTTGCAGGTTCATCACTACTACAGCTCCCTGCCTGAGGACAAGGTGCCCTACGTAAACAGCCCAGGAGAGAAATACCGCATCAAACAGCTGCTCCATCAGCTTCCACCCCACGACAATGAGGTGAGAGTCCTGACCAGCCCTCTCCCCCGTCACCCCCCCCAACCGCATCCATCCATCCACTTCTCCCTCCCCCACTGCTCCTCCTTCAGGCCATTATAGAGATAAGAGGGGAGCGGAGATTAGACAGGCAGGAGAAATGGGGCAGTTTTGTTAATGGATGTGAATGAGACGGAGCGATGTTTGTTGCCACTTATTGAGATTTGTTACATTATTAAATGATTACCAGGAGTAGTCCTAAAATGGCAGCGCTTTAGGCGTACGGCATGATTGGCTTTAATTGCTCCATTTTTTTTTTTTCACCTTTTAACACCATAGCCTTCTCTCAACATGGTGGGCAAGCAGTCCATTCTAATAATCTGACTGACTAAATAAATAAATGCTCAGAAAGCTGCAACAACAGACATGATCTCAGAGGCCGAAAATGTTTTGACTCACACCATAAGGAATCCACAGACTTCAACCCATGAACCAGACAAAGGTTCTGATCAAAGATTTAAAATGATGCACAAAAACATGAGAACCTTTGTATTTTATTGCACCTGTTTTGCGTTAATAGACAGAGAAATCCAAAGTAGATAACACCATGTCCTCAACTCTTCTTTAGTGTCATGGTTCTGAAGAATAACTGCATTGTTACCTGTTGGTAATAGTTCTTTATCAGCTGTAGATGGATCTTATATTGCTATTATACAGCATCAGTGACACTTTGCAAACGCATAAAAGCTTATCCAGCCTGTTTATCAGCATTAAAGATGACCTTTCTGTGCTTTTCCAGGCTGAGAAGAGGATTTTACTTGCAGAACACGTTTTGCAAATGAAATCCTTTATTAAGAAATAAAGGATTGTATAGAACACGTCATCGTTCGTCCTATGATCTACTCATGTTTTTTGCACATTGCAATGAACCAAAAGGTTTCAACACGGGGGGATGAGGTGAACCCACCAGTATTGCATCCTGAAATAGCTTGGGAAAGGGGAAATAAACCCAAAACTACTGAGTGCTGTTTGCAAAAGGAATGTCAAGTAGGCACATGACAAGGGATGAAGACAGTAGCCAATGTCCATCTGATGTGAGCTACAGATTATTCAGAACCTGATACATATAAAATTTTGAGGACAGTTCACAAACACGTGTCCTTGAAAACATGGATCAATAACTTTAAACTAACAATTTATGTGCTTTAAAGCTAGAATTTGACATTGTACATTCTTATCAACCTTGAGCTCCACAGAGCAGAATCCCATATCAGTTTGCTGATTTATAGGGTGGTTATGTTTGTGTGTAGGTACGCTACTGCAACAGCCTGGACGACGAGGAGAAGAGGGAACTCAAGCTCTTCAGCAACCAAAGGAAGCGGGAGAACCTGGGCCGCGGCAATGTGCGTCCATTCCCTGTGACGATGCTCGGGGCCATCTGTGAGCAGGTAGCTTATTTATAACCCCTCAAAGGCTTCATTTTAAATTTGCGACCGTGAGCAATGTTTTCACTTCTAAATGATGTGGTGGGATGGTGGAACCAAAGCTATGAATCGTGTTGCTGACACATGGAACATTCTGCTGGGATTTCAGCTCCGGTGATGTGTAGGACAGCTGCTTTATGTTGACATGTGAAGGGCAGAGGCTCCACATTTGTTTTCCAACAACACCCTGACCTTTTCTATCTTACCTTGGAGTCTCATGCTGTGGAGCTTCCTGCAGAGGTGTCTACATTTTACTCTCGACCGTGCTAGCTGTCAAACTCCACTCTTTTGGTCTAAAACATAGCATGATATATTGTCTTCTAGAGCTAAATCAGTGTTAAAACCACTTTGTTGTTTCTCTTAAGTATCCAGTGTGCCATGAAACGGTGAATATATTGCTAATATGTTCTCGTTTAGAATCCTTATGGGAGCGGTGAGTGTAATGGAGCGTTCTTTTAACAACAAAGCTGCACGCTTCAGCACTGGTTGTGTGGAGAACAGGTTTAACTGAAGCTAAATGGTTCTCACTATGTTTGCATGCAGCAGCGTTATTGTGTACGGTTCTGTTTACAGATCCAAACCCTCCACCTCTGTCCTTCATAACTAGTCAGAGAAATCTGTGCAGGTATTTTGTGTTTCGTTATAACTACATAATACACATTTTCATCTAGAGAGAAGTGTCTTGTAAATATGGTGTAATGTTTACTTCAGGGAGTACTGGTAGAGGCCTCAAATCATTTCCATTTGAGAACAACCTTTTATCTCTGAACTTTAAACTACTTTCCTTCTTATTCTTTCTTTAAAATCCTGTTTTTTGTTTTGTTTGTTTTTTCCTCAGTGTGGAGGACAGATCAACGGTGGTGACATCGCTGTATTTGCATCCCGAGCCGGCCACGGCGTTTGTTGGCACCCTGCCTGCTTCGTGTGCAGCACATGCAAAGAGCTCCTGGTAGACCTCATCTACTTCTACCAGGACGGGAAGATCTACTGCGGCCGCCACCATGCTGAGAGACTGAAGCCACGATGCACGGCCTGCGACGAGGTATAGGCGTGCAGACACAACAACCCTGCAGACAGATGACAGTTTATAAATAGCTACAGATGTAACAGCCTCTGAAAGACTATTTATAACCAATTTACACGCAGAGACAGCCTTAAACAGCTGTCACATGATGCTAACAGGCTTTTTTTATTTAATGGGGCCAGCTACCAGTAGGCCGATGATCTTAACATTAACGCTAAATGAGTTGTGCAAATGGGAGCAGGGACACTGCAGCACTTAAGAGGCACCCTGAAGGTTTTAAAAGCAGTTCAATTAAAGCACCTATATTGCACAAAGTCCCCACTCAAATTAGCCTCCTACTCAAGTCAGACACAAAGATGATCTCACAGTTTGTAGCAGCAGACATAAAGTGGAGCGTTTAGATGTGGCAGAGGAGCAGAGTCATTTAGCACTTAGTAATTACCCTACCCGTGATCAACTATTGTCTCTCTTCATCCTCAGATCATTTTTGCAGATGAGTGCACCGAGGCTGAGGGTCGGCACTGGCACATGAAGCATTTCTGCTGCTACGAATGCGAGACAGTGCTTGGAGGCCAGCGCTACATCATGAAGGAGGGACGGCCATACTGCTGCTCCTGCTTCGAGTCTCTCTATGCCGAGTATTGCGACTCTTGTGGGGAGCACATCGGTACACTTCTTGCAGACAGGTTTCCAGCACTTAACGACACAGTGTCAGCCATAGAGGGGCATTTGAGATCTTAAGTACAAGTTTTGGAAAACTTTCAAGTAGCCTAAAAAAGTGAAGTGAAAGTGAGAAGTTAAGAAAAATTTTTAAAGTGTGGTGTGCATTTTTTTTGTGTCAGTATTATTGTTCGAGAAAATTAAGGAACCCTTTTCTGATGGAGCGGACTACATCATTTCTGTTGCAACAATCAGTTCAAGCAACAACCGGTCCACTTCATACTTTACCTCAAGCCATGAAGGAAGTCAGAATAAGCTAAGGAGAAAGTGTTCGGATCAGATGAGACCTAAACTGAATTTTTAGACTTCCATGCTGAATGCTAGTGTTAAAGACAAGTACCTGCCCCTCCCTTTCTTTTCTGTGTGAAACAGACATGGCAGCATTATACTGTAGGGAGGCTTTTCTGGTTAAAATTCATGGTTACCCTCCAAAATAAAAACCTTTTGGATGCTGCTAAAGACAAGACTTAGGAGGAGGTTTATCTCCCAGCAGGACAGCGACTCTAAACAGTCAGAGCTTCAAAGATATGATTTAGATCAAAGCATCATCAAGTGTTCACATGTGAATTCAACTTAAAACTGAGTGCAAAACTTAAACATTGATGTTATTCATCTAATCAGGCTGAACTGAGTAAGGGTTTTAAGTATAGAGTAAGCTGGTAGCTACATATATTAAGTGTCTTGCAGCTGTAATGAGTCCCTCATAGGTGGGCTGCTCTAAAATGCACCAAACATTTATTTAAATGATGAGTTTTTTTTTATATAACTCTAAAAGCTATATAATTATGATTTCATGTTCTAATAGATAATGTTACAATATTATACTTTCTGATTTTGTTGATTTTTGTTGAACTGTGAATTTCTTTAAAAATGTACTGGATCAATTTTTTTTTAAAGATTTTAATTACTGGTAAGTGTTAGAACAGCACTTTAAGCATTAATATGATTATCATCAGGTATCCCTCCTGAGATGCCTGATGATAATCACCATCTTTTTCTGCTGGTTTACTCTAATTATAAGCCAAGCAGGATGCTGTAAAGTATTTAACTAAAGCAGTGCTGAACTACCACAGGCTGCTTTACAACCAGATGGAAATCATTAGCAAATAGCTGCTTTTCTTTCCCTCATCGGCTGAAAACATTCAGAAAAAGTTGCATGTTTATGCAGTTCTGGGCAAGTTCCATAATGAGTTTGCCCCACAGCACCTCGGTTTCCACCTCGTTCTCTATTTTCTCAGTCTGCAAACTACTTAGAAATGTGCTGCTTTTCACATAGGAAAGCATATTTAAATAAGCCATGTAACTGTCATTAGAAACCTCTACATTTGTGGTGGGGTTTTAAGCACTTTTTGAATATGCAGGATTTTGCTTAACCCTTTATCATTTCGTTTTTTTCTTTTTTTGTTTTTTGTTTTTTTTTCCCTGTGTAGGAATCGATCAAGGCCAGATGACGTATGACGGGCAACACTGGCATGCCACCGAGGGCTGTTTCCGCTGTGCCCGCTGTAAACGTTCCCTGCTTGGTCGGCCTTTCCTGCCCAAACAGGGACAGATCTTCTGCTCGCGCTCCTGCAGCTTGGGGGAAGAGCCCAACGGCTCCGATTCCTCTGATTCCGCCTTCCAAAGCGCTCGCTCCACCAGGGAGTCCAGACGCAGCACCAAAACGTCAAAAAGCGGTGGAAGCTGCCAGCCAGAGAGGTTTTCAGGCGAGGTGGACCCACTTTCTTTACAAATGGATTTGCTGAGTCTTTCCAGTCAGACCCCTAGTTTGACTCGTGAGCCACCATCCTGGCAGAACCAGGAAATAACGGGTGACGGGTACAGCTATGAGCCACAACACGATCAGTCAGTTGACCCTACTCCCCTCCAGCTCCTCAGCCAGTGTAATATAAGGAGCTCTGGACACTCTACCTCTGGACAGAGCAACCAACAGCATGCCCAGATGAACAATGAGAACGGTGGTTTAAAGCGCCCCCCCATCTCAGCCATAAAAGGCCAGTCCCTCAATGAGAGTTGGCTCCAGCAGGGAACTCCAGAGGATTGCTACCCACCCAAACTGAGGACCCAAAAGAGCTTAACTGAAGTCCACCACAACGGCTTTACCTCAGAGAAGCGTTCCATCAGTTTCCATGGCTTTCAGAGGGACAGAGATGGGGCGCCTCAGACAGCTACTCAGGTGGCCAGAAGCAGGAACCCCATTAATGCACTTAACTTCACAGAACAGCTGACCCCATTGGAGCAGACCCCAAGAGGTTCCATGGAGTCCTTGACTTTTTCCAACACTATTGGTGGGTTTGGAAACATTAAGTGCTGTAAAAATATGCTTTTGCCTTCTGAGAGGTTGATTCTTTTTTTACTTTTCTGTCACATCTCAGGGTTTCAAATCGAGTTGACTAATCCTTCACGTTAATTGTAAAGCTGAGCTAAATTTTAAATGTTAGTAGCCAAGCCTTATTAGTGCCAGACCTACAGGATAACTAACTAAAATAAGTATAGATGGCATGATCTGACTGTAAATGATAATAAATGCATTTACAAATACAAAATGTAGATTAAGTAGTTAGAAAATAATCCAAACATCACCAACAAGTCCATTTCTGATTGGCTTAAAAGAATTAAAACTTCGATCTGGAGTGGCCTAGTCAAAGTCTGTGATGCCGTGGCCTTGCCCCAAATGGGCTAAAACGTCCATCCGTTAAAAAAAAGAAAAGAAAAAAAAACATGATCCGATATATTATAAAGACAGACACAATTTTTTACACAAGGTAAATATAAGAGCAAATTATCAGTTTCCATCAAGGCTAGCACTTCTAGCTTACACAGTGTTTGGTTGGTTTTGCCAACTCTTATCAACAAGAATGAAAATATAATTTAAAAACTGCTCTATGTTTTTTACTTATGTTATGCATACAGAAAATGTATCTTTGTCTGATAGAGAAATTTTTCTATTGATCTGACAACCACGTGATTAAAAATGTTTAGCCTTGTAGTCATCAGATACTTTCCACCTTACCCTATTTTGACACTTAATTTGCATGTGTATTTCGTTTTAATGGTAGTTTTTAGAAATAAAATTCAAACCCACTGACTACTACCCTATTTATTCACAGGCAACTCAGCAGACGGTGGGGGGAAGCATCAGGACCACCTCTCTCGGTTTTCCATGCCTGACCTGAGTAAAGACTCAGGAATGAATGTGTCTGAAAAGAGCAACATGGACACTCTGAACTCCTCCATGCAGTTTCGCAGCTCAGAGTCTATTCACAGCTTAAATGGCAGCCAGTCCTACCTGGAAGTGAACCCCCCCAGGTCTTCCCAGTACCAGATGCAGTATTGTGACCCTCCAGGAATGAGAGTTGGTATGGGTCTGAATCATCTGCCTCCAGGCTTCACCTATCAGGAGGAAGACCGGATGGTCAGCAGCGCTAATGCTGCTCGCCTGCCGCCCATCAGTGAACGCAGTGTAAGTGGTGTCAGTGGACGTGGAGCAAGCATCCGGACAGATGCTCCAGAAGACGCCTCTCAGAGGCGTCGGCACCACCATCACCGCCAGCGAAGATCCCGCCGCTCCCGCTCTGAAAATGCTCTGAACCTTGTGGCGGATCGTAGGGTAAGGCCCCAAGAAAGACCGCCGCTGAGTGTCAAAGAAGATTATGATCGATTTCCACCACCAAGAAGTGTCAGGGGCCAGTTTGGAGCTGGAGGACAGGGAAGGTACCAGCCTTTTAGGCAGTGCCCCAGAACCACTTCAGACCTTTGTCTGCAGAACCCAGGAGCCAGCAGACGCCCTGGATTAAACCAGTACTCCTGGGATGAGTATTACGATGATGACTGGTGCTCCACCTGCTCTTCATCCTCTGAATCCGAGGAAGAGGGTTACTTTTTGGGCGAGCCAATCCCCAGGCCCATCCAGCTGCGCTATATAAACAACCATGAGATGGTCCACAAGTACAACAACATGGGGTTTGGAGGACCCAACCGCAGCGGGCAGCTCCACACCCGCAAACGCAGAAAAAGCAAGAACTGCATTATATCTTAACATCCAGAGCCTGTCCACAGGACATTTCTTTTTGTTTATCATGACTAAACTAGCATTCTCCATTAGAAACAAAGAAATGTGTTTTTTGTGTGCAAGGTATGACATAGTTGAAAGTTGCTAATGAGTTAAAGCTGGTAGGCCATTTCAAAAAAAGGCAACATGGTTTTTCATTTTAATGTTTCATATTTCTATGTTCACTTATATCAGTGTTTATCAAAAGCTGATGTGCAATTTATCTAAAACATCTTTCTTTTTGATGCAGACATTCATAATATGTTTGGTAGAGTTTTATGTTTCCAGTGGAACCTAGATGGATTTTCTGTTCTATTAAAGTTCATAACCTGTACATAGAAAATGAATTATTAATTTCTCCTAAATTAAGAAACTGTAAATATGATTGTAAATGTGGGGCCCATATTTTTATATTTTGTAAGGATAGAAGGAGCTAAATGTCTATGATGTAGAGATAGAACCTAACAAAAACAACGTTTGCATGTAGTGTTTGGCTGACTTGGTGCTGCATTTGAAATAAAGGAGTATTTCAGTAAGATTTGGAACAACAGCCGGTGTTTCTCTAGAAAGGAACAACATATGGGTGACAAAGTGCAAAACGGCTCCAGTTTTAATCTGCTGAATACATAAAATGACAGACGGTGTGTTTGTGGGGGCTGATTAGAGTCATCCTCTGGATTGTTAGCGGGTGATGGGGCAGTCACAGTCAAACTCTATTGTCCTGCTAACAAATGAGAGATTATTTCGTCAACTCTCTGGGCTGAATAAGTTGTTTACTAACAGTTTGGATGTCAGGTTATTAAAACCAGGTGATGTTTTCATGAAAGTTGTAAGGCAGTTTCAGAAAGCCAATTGAAAATATGCTCACTATGGGATGAAATCCTAGACAATTCTTTTAGTCTAGATTACTATTAGAGAAATCCACCCATCCATTTTCCTTCACGCTTATCCCAGCGGGGGTCGCATAGCGGGGTTCACCCTGGACATGTTGCCAGTCCATTGCAGGGCAACACAGAGACAAACAGGACAAACAACCATTCACACACACCTACTGAGAATTTAGAAAAGCTAATTAACCCAACAGTCATGTTTTTGGACTGTGGGAGGAAGCTGGAGTACCCAGAGACAACCCACACATGCACAGGGAGAACATGCAAACTCCATGCAGGAAGATCCCGGGCCGGGAATCAAACCCGTAACCTGCTTCAAGACAGCGGTGCTACCCACTGCCCACTATGCAGCCCTGTCACTTTGCAGCCTTCCTTATCTTAAAATATTTAAAAACATTCTCATCATGTATGATATTTCGAATGCTGCATTACATGTTTTTGGCCCCTTTTTTTGTCCCATCAGACATATTTGCAGAACTGGCCTGTTTACAATTGTATATTTGTCCTGACGGGTCCAGTCTTCAATAAACTCTTGTGTGGTTTCTGTTGGGAGATGTTTTCATACTAAGGTACGTAATTCTAACTTTTTTAAATGAAATTTTTTTTAAACAAATACATTGATGTGTGCGCCTATAATCAAAGGTTAATTTGCTTAAGCCCTCATTATGTGGAGTATTGGTCAAATTAACCTAAAGCGACTGCTACAGTCCAGTATGTGACTTTGTTGTGACGGAGAAAAAAACATACACTTTTTCCCCCCTTTATAAAGATCCATAGAGTTTGGTTGGATTAACCAATTGTGTTCATTGTCTATAATAAAGCTTTGCAACAGGTTTAGAAAAGTTTGGCATTAAAAGGAAAAATATGGCTGAGCTAATTAAAGCTCTGAGTTGCAGCTGACACAAAATCAGGTTGTGGACAAGTGGTTAAAGAAAGTTAACATTGGTCAAGGATGTTTCTGGCCATAATAAAAAAAAAAAAATGTTATCCATCTTTAAATAACCTTCCCAGTGTTTCATTCTAATCTTATCTACCGTACATATTTTATTAACTTAATATTTAATGATCAAGATTGAACATTGGTCACTGAGGAATTAACTATTTTCTCATCTACCCTCCACAGTAGATAAAACTAAAATCCTTTGAAAAAGTAGCTATGAATAAGTGTTGGCTGCATTTTCTGTAATATGTGTTGTTCAATGAGTGCCTCTTTTAAAGACATTTCACTTTGAGCCACATCTCTTTGTTTACCTCAGCTTCTCTGATATTGCAGATAATTTGGTATTTTCAGATTAACTTAGGCAGCATTCACCTCTTTTGAAAACAGTTTGCTCAAAGAAACAGTTCATGTTTGAAAGAAGGTTCCATTGATATATTTCTAGCAGTTGAATGAATTAATTTATTAATGAATGAATAGGAATTTGCTTCAGACAATGTGATAATCAATCAACCATGTGCAAACAAAAGAGACTGGTGAACTTCAAACCAAACACTGATTTCCACACTAAACTAAAGGCACCTGAGCATAAATAGAAACAAAACCCTTCACCAAATAAACCTGTCTGCATATACAGCTACTCCTCCCACAGTTTTTCCTTCTCTAATGTTATAATTACACTCATAACCCTCTGGCTCAAAATTAGCCCCTTTCTAATGAGTGATCCATGTTTCAGAGATTGCTATGATGCTGAATGGCTGTTTAAAGCGGATCAGACAATCTTTGCTGTTGAAGTTTGCAAATAAACTCATAAAATGTCATAGAAGAAGTTGTTATCTGGATGAATATCATCTTCTAAGTCCTGACTGTTATAATTCGTGTAGTTGAATGTTTTCAGTTCCTGGTTATCAGCACTAACAGTTGTAGGTGTTAGTGTTGTGTCTACAAGTGACCAAGAAAGGAAATCCAGCACTTTCCTTATCTCCTCAAATCCTCCAAGGCTGGATTCTTCTTAGGGCCCATACTAGCAACAGGAATTTAAACACTGTCACATCTTTATCACATCTTTGTTTTGAGCTGATAAGCCAATTTGCAAATGGAATAAAATGATTTACACTAATAGAAAGATATTTAAAAATATCTAATGTTAAATGCATATACATATATATATTATTATAAGAGCAAAACTACTCATTCCGTCTAAAGAATATCTTATTAACCTGTTCAAATTAAGGGCAAACACACACTTTTTTTCTTTTTTCGATCAGCATTTATTGTAAATAAATGTATTAGATAGACCTAAGGCTAAAGCAGACTGCTAGTCTGAGAGGAGATGAGATCAAAGCCGATTTCTACCATCTTTAAACAGCCTCAGGTTTAAAAACGTCAACCAATTTTATGGAAAGACTACTTTATGAACCTTTAAACCCTGTTACTTTTTGTCATGGGTGATTATTCACACAGCAGCAGAAAACTTTCTACATGGTAAAAAACGTGTAGGCAGTGCGCCACTGATGACCCTCCTGTCTGAAACACACTGCGAACCTGTAAATCATTTTCAGCGTAAATGAACACAGAGAAAATCAGGGGCATGTTAATATCCAAAAAGTTTTACTCATATAATTAGATGGTTGCCTTGACTGAAACATGTTCCCTTTACATGTTAGACGCTCTGTGTGAGTTTCACACAGAAATATAAAAACTACCAAGCATTTCAGTGTAGTTAAAGCTTAGAGAGTTCAGAATCAGGACTTATTCAACTCAAGACATCTGTTTGTATTCCCTTGTACTAGATTACAAATAGTATTTTTATTATGTGGTTCATAAGATAAAGATTTGTGTTAGAGAAAAAAAATCCTGTTTTTTTTGTTTTTGTGAGGTTGGAATGGATTCCAGCCACTGAGAGCTCTATGGCTCCCTGATGACCAGACTGCCAAACCAGGCAACCCATGTGTCTGAGGGTTAACTATTGGCACATATTAGCTGACAGGTTGTCTTGAAAAGTGTTAAGCAGTGTCATACGGATTGATTCTTCCATCCATGTGGTGAAAGGATTACTGGTGCTGGCTCCCATTATCCACACAGAACAACCCACTGATTTTGGAACAAGGTGTTTAAAAGGCCAAGCTGTTGATTAAATGCACTGATGTGTTCATACAACAGTATTGTATAATTGGCACATTAGATACCATACCTAAGGTAGGTTCCAGTTTTCATTCTTACACAGAAATCTAGTAACTCTTAGATGTGAAGGTGAAGAAAAGCTATATATGAAATATTTAAATGTTTAAAAATATATTATTAGCTGCTGATGGTCTGATCTGGTTAGTCAGTTCCCAGTTGAACATATGTTCTTAAACTGGGAGTGCAGAAAGGAAAAACTTGTCTTTTAAACAGTTGTTTCCTTTACATTATAATCACTATCCCTCGTTAGTTTCTTTATTAGTCCCTCTCCAGAGTGTGTGTTTATGAGTGAGTGTCTCCATGTGTTTAATTAAAAGCAAATGGAGGCAAAACTGTGGGGGGCACAGATTGCTGCCATATGCCTCAAAGACTATACCACATCCAAGGTGGAGGACGGTGGGCAGATAATCGGAGAGGAGCGTCTGGATGCTAGCTGCCACAGTCAGAGCAGCAGATAAATTAGAGAAATGAAGGGATCCCTTCAGTCTCAGTCGGTCAGCTGATGCTTTCAGGGAGAGGAAAGTTTGTCATTGTATGAAACTGAGGTGCTGTGAATGCAAAATGTTTCCATTTAATTTAGTTTAATTTAATTCCATTTAATCAAGTCTATACATGTTTTAATATATAAAAAAGTATATGTTACAAACACAAGTTTAGCAAATAATAAGCTACATATTTTAATACTCTTTACTAAAAAAAAATCAGTTTGATAGTGACTAAGAATAGCATAATTATCAAAAAATATTTGAATACTTTTAATGCCATCATTACAAAGATTGTTTTTGTTGTTTTAATGTGTTCCCTTTTAAAGATTTGTGTTTTTTTTTCTGTTTGATAGAATTACTCTACAATAGTTTTCGAAACTTTTTTCCCTCTCCTTCTGATAGAACTGGTTGGTCCTCCAAACCAAGTCTAGTCAACAACACTTAGAATAGAGCCTTATGGTCGGCAGTCCAGGACATCAAGCTGCTATGTCAGCAATAAGGCTTTAATATTAGGATTTTTGTCTTATTCAAAGATACATTTGTGTACTACATGTGCGTTTGAGCCAGTGTCTATGAAATGTAATTATGGTGGAATAATGACAATTCTTACATTTTTGCCCCAGCTTTACTGTTCTCGCTCATTTATT